TTTCTGTGATTTATGTAAGCTGGCAGCCTAAAGCTATGAGCAAGCCACTCTCAAGCCATTGTTACCGTTTGCATCACTGGTACATGTTTACCTCTTGCTATTCTCATTTGAAGCAGAGCTTTGCTTTAGGAAACTAGGGTGATATTCCTGGTATTCAGGAATACAATCCAGTGCCTTTTTCTTGGTGGTCTTCAGTTATAGAGTGAAAAATTTTGTGATAATTATTTGTCACAGTGGTATCCCAGTAGATATTGTTGGATTGAAAACTGTTAAAATTCTTTCAAAAAGATAAGAATTAGCTCTCTCACTTATCTTTCTCATTGATATGAGATAAAAGAGAGTACAGACCAGAAGCAATGACTTTAAAATAGCACCAGCAATCACAAAGAAATCAGAAGCTGATAATGTAGTGATACATATTTTCCCAAAGTGAAGTATTCACCTTGAGTAAACAGCTTCCCCAACAATGAATACAAAATTTTAGGTGCAAAGAAATAAAGGAATAGCTTTTTTTTGGTCCCTTATTTTTCTCTCTTCTGTTAAAAAATAATCAGAAAAACATAAAGTAGGGGGCAGGGGCTGTTACGCAGTGGTAAAGTGCATGCTTAGCATGTGTAAGGTCCTAGTTCAACCCCTAGTATGAAAACATATGCACACACGTGTACACACAGACAAACACAAAATGTACGTGTAAACATGTGGTTTTTTCTAGGTCACAAGAAGTGTAAATACCATTAATGTTTTGCAACATGTGTGTCAGAATTTTTTTAAGAAATTAGGCATTTCAGATAAAGTACCAGTTCTCTTTGTTCTCTCTCTACAGTCTGTTCAGGTTTTTGTGTATGTATTTATATATTTACTATACATATTACCAGAGAATATGCTATAGAGTATATATCTCAGAGTGTTATTTTTGTGTATTTTGAAGTCCTAACAGATGGTATCAGTGGTCTGCAACTTGATTTTCTCAACCAACATTAATATTCATAGTGACTGAATCAATGCAAGTAGGTCTTGCTATTCTCATTAATTTTTAATGTTTTATAAAATGTCTTTGGATAAGACAATGTATAATTATGTTGAAAGTTGTTTCTGTTATTAGTGCTTCCTATTACAAACAGTGCTGAAGTGAATGCCCTTGAACTCATCTTCTGAAGCACATGCATCAGTTTCATTGAGGTAATTCCCTAGAAGTAAAATTGATGAACCACAGGACGTGTGATTGCCAAATTTGCGTGGACGTTGTCAGAGTGAGGTAATGTCATGTTAAACTCCTTTTCAGCAGTGCTGGAACTAGCTTTCTAAAACAAATACGCCAGGGACATTGCCTACAGTTTTCAGGGTTTTCTGTTGCAGAATTTACACCCCCCACAGCCCCACCCCATCCCGAGTGTTTCCCCACATGTAATTCTCTTACCTCCAAAGATCCTTTCTTTGACTTACTTAGAAAAACTAGAACAAGTATTAAAACTTGGTTGTTCATATTCATTCAGAATAATGGGCACAAGTTTCAGAGAAACCTGGCTATTTAGCTCTTTCAGAAGTAAGTCTTTTCTTTAAATTTAGTGCTCTTTCCTCATTCTCACTATTTGAATGGATTACATTTTTACATTTTCAGCGTTTATGTTTATTTGGGCTTTTTTTTTTTGGTGCTAAGGAGGTTGTTTAAACACTTTGTGGATGATTTTTTTCCTTTTTCTGCTTACTTTAAACTTTCCAAAAGATAAAAACAAACTAACCTGTTCACCTCCTTAAATTTCTTAAGATTTTTTTGGACCTATCAGGCATCTAACTTAAAATTTCATTTCAGTGACCCACAGATGCCAATGCAACCTCCAAGCATGCCTTCCTGGACTTGAAGTTGTTGCTACTTTTGAAACATCTCCCATTTGTGGTCACTTTCTTCTACCTGGAAGAGCATCATCCCTCCTAGAAGTTCTGATCTAATCAGACTTTTTAAAACTGATGTTGGCATCTAGAGCTTTGTTAAGTTTCTGCTTAGCACTCAGATTCAAGTATCTTTTGTTTTATCACATTGGAGGAATAAACAGAAGCAGGCATCAAAATTCCCTGGCCCATTTTGATCTGACAAGAAATGCTGAGTTTAAACATTGACTCTTAACAGCACAAACCATACAGTACTGAGAACTGTCACGATGCAAGTGCAGGGCCCTGGGCTTTGGCTCCCCTAAGTTACCATGCTTAGGAAGTGCTAGTCATGTTCTTGTGATGAGCACCTTTGCCAAAGTCTCACATGCTGTAATCGTATGTTGTTACAACCTGGCATTTATAACCGTTAGAAAGTTTTCCTGTGGGGGGAGTTGGGTGAAATGGATCTGTATTTTGAAAGAAAACTGCAGTACTGTGGAGAATATGTTGCAGGGGGAGAGCTGAGGAGAGCCTGCGGGAAGATCAGTTAAGGGATTCTTGCCACATGTTAGGTAAGAAAGGAGGCTCTTTGGGCCAGGCTGATACAGGGAGCGGGAAGAATGTATAAACTTATTAGGAGGGGATGCAGTTGCCTTTGGAGGCAGCTGGGCGTGGTGGGCTGAGCGAGAAGAGTAAGGGTCAGATTTGGCTGTTCTCAGCTGTGGGGGTACAGGCATGTGTGCTGGAGCAGCCTATGGGACCGTTGTCAGGGTGTCACTGGACTGTGATGACATCAGCATTAGCTGAAGACAGAGAGGCCTCCCTCAACACAGGCTAGCCCCTATGCTATTTCCGAGCAGATGGCATCTACCTTTTCTTCAAGTAGGCAAAGATTGTGGGCTTCTTTGTAGTCCACAGTTTCCTACATAAGATTATTGCTGAAATGGAAGTGTGGGAGAAATACATTGATACTCATTTTCAAGATGGCCAGGTTAGTGAATGGCGTTCCATGAATTCACACTTAAGACCAGTGCCTTCTGCATGGACCTGCCATGGTGCCACCTGGCATCGAGACTGGCTAAACGCATGGCAGGAGAAGGGTAGAGTTTTGTATGTAGTTCTCAAGATTATTCATTAATTTTCAGCTGTACTGAAGGTTGGTTTGTGGGGTAGGGATGGGGCTGTTACCAACATCTTTTAGTTCATTGATGATGTTCAAGGAAACTGAATGCCTTTGTTCAGTGTTTCAGTAGCTGTCAACAGCAAGCTCAGAGTTAAGGTTTTGAATCTTAACTGACTTCCTAAAAAAATAAAGATGTTAAAGAACACAACAGCAAAAACAACTACAGTGTATTTTACCCTAAATAAAATGTCTGTCATTAGCTTTCTTGAGTAGCAGATGTATCCGCCACATGAAATGTTTCCATTCTCTGTCATTATCCCAAACTAGGAATTTAAAGAAGTCATTAGCCTTAAATGTAATGTAACCCCAGAATCTCTTCATTCTGCTTAGGCTAAATTGCTTATCAGCTGTGATCACGCTGGTGCATTTACAGGATCATAACTTCTCAAATGATTGTCTTTATTGGATTAATGTTTTTTTTTTTTTTATTTGTGGGGGTTAGTGAGAAGGTTGGGAGCAGAGAGGGATGAGTTCAAGAAGAGCAGAAAAAAATGCAGATGCTTTAAAATGGCTAGTGGCAGAAAAAAAGATGCTGCTATTCCTAGATCCTGTGGTCCTGCAGAAGAGGAATTTCAAACTGAATTAACATGAATGACCTCCTGCTCAAGTGTAGCCAGCGAGGTTCTCAGTGAGTTTTATTTGTGTGTGTCTCTGTGTGTGTGTGTTTGAAAAGGGAAAGTGGAGAGCTTAACAGCAAGAGTGAGAGACATACTTTCTCTGGGGGAACACTTCCTTGGATCCCACTGAGGATTTTATTTGAAGATGTTTAGTTTGCCAGGGGTAGTGGCCAATACCTGTAATCCCAGCTATGTGGGAGGCCAAAACAGGAGGACTGCAAGTTCCAGGCCACACTGGCCAACTACCTCAAAAAAAAAAAAATAAATAAAAAGGGCTGGGTATGTAGCCCTTTCTTTAATCCCCGGTACAGGAAAGAAAAAAATAAGTGCCTTAATTCTGTCATAGAGAGCTGCCTCTCTAAGGCCCTCTTTTAACTGTCTCCTGCTTCCTGGGAGGCCCTGAAAATGCTGTGAGTGTGTGATCATTGGGCCTGGCTCCACTTGCCATCGCGTGGCCCAGGGCAGTGTGGTTGTGGAGCGGCTGCTGGAGGGCAGCTGCTGTCTTGCCACGGGTGCTGGGTGAGGTAGTTGTGGTGCAAAAGGTTTCTCTCCCTGCACTTTCAGCCTGGCTTACCCTGAATCTTATTTTATAAAATAACCATGAGAAAAGATCTGTCTAAGTCGATCTGAGGTTGTAATTATGAGGGCAGCCTCACTGAAGAAATTTAAAATGCATAGAAACCAATTTTGTTTTCTTTTTGTGAGGTTCCTCCAACCCTCAAGATTGAACGCAGGGCCTTGCGTGCGTTCTCCTAATAGTTTCAGGTCCTGACAGCTGAAGTTCTGCAGCTACTCTGAGGCAGAGTCCATTTCTTTCATCCAAGCCTCCGTTTCTCTTCCTAGGTCTTCACAGCCCCCCAACTTTCCCTCCTGCCTTCTGCCAGGTGTCACCCAGCTTGTTGGACAGACGGTGACGGCCCCCACAGGCCTTTGAACAGTTACATGTTGAGCCCCTGAACCTTTTATGTGAATGTCCCAACCATGTCAGTGGGGCCTTGCCTTCAGCCTGCTTTGTTTATCCAGCAGCTCATTACTTAAGGCTGGCCTGTCAAAACGGGTTAAATATTCTTTGGGAAAAATGGTCACATCCTTGAGATACCACAAATATGTTTAATACAGGGAAGATTGGCTTGATAAGAAAAACACGATTGAGTTGCATCACCGAAAATATTTTTCTGTTATTCCAGTTGAATTTCCACAGGCATCAATAAGCACTCACAAACCTGAGGGCAGTAAATTTCTGCAGCTGACATGTAGAGACACCAAGGGAGGCAGGGAAAATGATTGCTATGATTCGTTCTAACTACTTGACCTTCTGACCTCTTCTCTAGATATATGATCAAGATGGGACACTACAGCACTTTATTGATGGTGGGGAACCTAGTAAGTCGAGCTGGATGAGGTATATCCGATGTGCAAGGCACTGCGGAGAACAGAATCTAACAGTAGTTCAGTACAGGTAAAGTATATCTTGATTTACCACTTACAGAGCTGGAGCCCTTTGGCTTGCATATACAAATTCAGGCTTGCTGCTAGTGATTGAAAAAAATCCTGCAGACTCCGCACAGATTGGCAGAGATTGGTTTTTTTGTTTTTCTGTTGCTAACTTCCTGGACCGTCCATAGTTTCCAGGGCAGTCATTTCCCGAGTGCTCAGAGTGCAAGTCAGTGGCCTGTTCGTTCAATGCTCAAGCTAAAGTTACCCATGTGTCATTGCTTGAACGTCCACAGAAGCCTGAAGGGATCCGGCAAGCCCACTGATCAGGGGCAGCATTGGCAGCTGTGTGCACACAGATAGCAGGACGTCAGAGATTTTAGAGACTCGGCCGTGGGCCCTTGGTTCTCAGTGTTCTTTAGCTTATCTCCCTGTGAGGACAGTTTCATTTGCACAGAGCCTCTGGAAACCAAGCACCTTACTCTTCCCAAGACTGCCCTTCAAAGCCCGCTGTGCTTGGGAGCAGTGACTGAGAGGGGCAGCCTCTCCTGCTCCCTTCATGGGTGCTGGAGCCTTGAGCTTTGGCATTTTGATGGTTCTAGGTATGTTTCAGGCAATGAGGTGATTTTAAAGCAGAGATAGCGTCCCACTTCCCCAAGATGCATGGGTCAAGTTCATCAGGTGACAAAGGTAAGAAGGCGCCATCCCCCGTCCTGCAGGGAGTCACAGACCGAGGCCTGGGGGCACTGGAAGCAAGGTGGATGCTCAGGCTGCCTCAGACCTGTTTTCTAAGTGCACCCGCTGCCCAAACATTTCCGCTTAACACCTAAGGAGGCCAAAGTGGTGATGAGAGGGCAAAACAAATCAACTGGGGAAAAAGCCCCACCACCAGCCCTCTTTTCTCAAAATCCCTGGAAAACATGTGCCAAGTAAATATATGAGCTCAGTTATAAACAGCCATGTTCCCCTTAGAATCAGAAGCAACTGTTTAGCATTATTAGGCACCAGGACACATCAAAGCAGAGGGCCTGGTGCTTGGCCGACTCAGAGGCCTGCCTGTGGCTATTTATTTTCCTTTCCTTTCCTTTTTTTCTTTTTTTAAAATCAAGGTTTTTTTTTTTTTTTTTTAAACTTTCTTCCCCTTACAGCTTAAAGGTTGCACAGATCTGGCTTGTTCTTTAAAGGTCTCCAGTTCAAGAGCAACATATTTGGGCAGCATCTGACTCAGTGCCTTGGTTTCCTATATAGTTTTATTTCATTAAATAATTGGTTTGATTGCAGTAGTGCAAGACAATATTTGGATATGCTGCTGTATGTAGGCTTTACCTTCTCTGTTTCTGAAGTTTTTATAGATCTTAGAGCTAAATACTAGTAAGAACTGTGCTTATCCAGCCTGCGTAGATAACATAGCTGGTTCTGTGCTGAACACCCAGGGAGTTGGTTCTTGAGGCACATTCTGAATTGGGACAAGAAGCCCCTTTCAGGAGTGCGGCAGGAGTGAGTCATTACCTATCTGTCAATATCAAGTGGATTTTACAACTCCCCTCCATGACAGCGCTTAAACTACAAGCTCTCTCTGCTGATCTGTTTTTGATTACTTCAGATCTTTATAAAATGAACTACAAAAACACAATTTTAAAAACTGGCATCCATCACCAGTGACGACGTCCAAAAGTAAGAAAATAGAAAAGTTGGACCCTGAAGAGCCAGTCTAATTTTTATCGTACATGAATGTCCTCTTCACAGAAAGTCAGCTGTTTTAAATTCATTCTGTTATGATTTGTAATATCTAAATGGAATTTTCTTCAAAGCGCCCTTGATTGATTGACCCTTAGCTGAACGTTTTGTTTTTATTTTGAGGCTGACAATAATGTTTGTTGGCATGTGTTCTGCTTCGACTGCGCTGGGACGCCATGAAGCTATCTTTATGAGTCATCCAACCACAATACTAAATACATGTCAGCAAAGGAAATATTATCTGAAAAGGGAAAAATCCCTTTGATGTGCTTCAACATGCAGAGATTTCTGCGAGTTTTGGAAGCTCTGCCCGCTTGTACGGCACGGTGTATGCTTACACATTTTTCTCCCCCTTCAGCCTGCTCCATGCCTCAGAAGACCACCCATTGCTCAAAAACAGTTCTGCACTTTCAGCAGCAAAGTGTGTCATTTGGTTTTAGCACATTCATTTGCCGGGCGCAGTGTTTATCTTAAGGGAAGCCAAACCGAGAGATGAAATGTTACAAGGGCGAAGTACAAAGTAGACCCAATTTTTCTCAAGTTAGGAGATGCCAGTGATTTATAACGCGGCTCCAATTTTAATTTTTTTATGTAGCAGTGGAAAGAATTAATAAAATGCACAGCTCTTAGAGATGCAGAGGGAGGAAGGGTGGCGAGGGCTGGACAACTGGCTGGAGTTTTTGTCAGATATTCATAGAATGTTGGGAAAACACATTCTGCTTAGCTAGCAGTGCCCTCGTGAGACAGAATGGCAGCAAGAAAGGAAAATAACAAGATAAATGAAACTTTTGCAGCTGCAAGTAAAATATTGAGAATCTGCACTTTTTTATTGATCTTTATGATCCTATTGCCAAGAGCCACTTCGTGATGACAGAATATGTTGACAAGTGCATATCTCACCGCCATGAAAAATGTGGAGAAGGATTCGCGTGATGTCTGCAGTGTTATACAGGGGACAAATTGCCCTGCGACAGCCAGTTCCGTACAAAAAGGCGAAATTTAAGGTCCACCAACCCCAAACACTTTTATCTGAAACTTGAGGCTAACATGTGAGGCAGTTCTTCATTGAGTTTAAGTCTCCTTTTTTTTTTTAATGTGTAGATTTTTCTTTATGGTGCCAAAGCTGTTATAAAAGATGTCTATTTCTTGGTACCTTCACTGTATCATTTCAGAGTGTAATCTTTCAGCCAGCATAAAGTGCTCCTCTTGTACTTATTGAATTTTCATCCATTTCACATGAGAGGCTTTTTCTTTTTTGTACCAAGCCTCAGAAAAAAAGAAGTAGAGTTTTTTTATTCTTAATCCTTGTATCACAGAGATGCTCCATTTTACTGCAAATCTGAGGAATTCCAGGGTAGTTGCCAGAATACACTTAATGCTTTTCCTTCAAATTAGAAATCAATGGTATTAATTTATATATGAGTTGGGGTACCACAGTCTTTGCAGTTTGCCAAGAGAAAGAATTTTCTCATTAGTGCAAGGCAGAGTTTTTTAAAATGAACTTTCCCTTTCTGCTGTCTCCTGGGCCAAATATCTGTCTCTTCAGGACCATCTATGCAGGGACACTGTAGAAATAAACTATACACTGTTTATCATACTGAGTTATAGGCTTTAATTGATTGCTGGGGACAATAAGGTGAATGTAGATTTATTATAAACAAACTGTTTAGGTGGAGCTGGGCAGAACATTTTCAGGGCAATAAAAATGTGGTGGGGGCATGTGAGTCCTACCTATTACTAAGATGGGTTTTCTTTTGTTTTGAATAGGTCGAATATATTCTACCGAGCCTGTATAGATATCCCCAGGGGCACCGAGCTTCTGGTGTGGTACAATGACAGCTATACGTCTTTCTTTGGGATCCCTTTACAATGCATTGCCCAGGATGAAAACTGTAAGAATTTATTTTAGCTCTGAATTGACATCTCAAAATACCTATCTCAAAGCTAACTTTTAAAGAATGTTTTTTCTTGAAACTTCTGCAATGTGCTTCACTGTATGATACATCAGGCAGATGTGCACACATCCGTTCTGACGTCGTCTTTTCCCTGTATGTTGTTTGCTTTCGCACAGCATCTTAATCTCTACCAGCCAGCACTCAATTTCAGAGCCTTTGCTAGAGTTTTGAATAATCACCATCAACAGAGTTAAGTCCGCTGGTATTCACTGAGCACGTACTGTGTGTCTGTCCTGAGGTTTTCCTTGCAGAGGGCTGTAAAAGCAGTAATAAGATCACTTCTGCTCTGACGGGTTACAGAGTCCTCCTGGAGCCACACTATACAAAGACGAAACGCTGAGAGAACATTACTGCTTAATTAAGGGTATCAGCCTTACAGTCGGCTTCCTCCTAGTTTTTAGTGCAAAAAATGATACTAAAAACCTGTAGATATGTAAAATTCATGTCTTTCTAATTTTTTTGGTCTAAAACCAGGTAATTTTCTTCTGTTTTTATTATCATGCCAATCATTATCTTTGAAAGAATAATTAAATTCTTGGGCAAGTATGACAGCAATTTTTATTTAAAATTTGAATTGTTTTATCAGTTCTTTTGTAAATATTATAAGGTTATTTTTAGAATTTGAAACAAAATTAGGAAATTCTGATGTGCTTTGGTGAGAAACACTGGTTTCAGTGATGCTGTGTTTTCTTGTCACTAATTGACTAATATGATAATTTGACATTATACACCAAAAAGAAATAGAGACAGTAAATCTTCTTTAGTAGAAAATTTCACTTTAAAAAAAGTATTGTGCTGTTTTCTTTCTTTTTTTTCTTCTCACATACACATGCATAAAACATGCTCCAACAAAAAATGTTCATATTACTACCGGTCAAAATGTTGATGATCAGATATTTCTTTCCCATGTTGCTTTTAATTTCTTTGTAAAAAGTAAGATCCTCAAAAGGCCTACTGCTACCGGGGTTTGTTTGTATTTTATCCTAACCCCAAATCAATCTAAAACTACAGTACATTGCTCTTACCTCCCAAGTTTCCATTAGTGAGTTTCTTTTCTGCAGTGATACTTCCATTTGAGGGAGCATCTTTTTCCTGAGGAGAAAATCTCAGAGTTGGACAAGAGTGTGCACTGGTGTTGGAAGCCGGGCCTGAGGCGGAAGTCACCACATTCTCCTGGGCCCAAGCAGCTGCAACCCCTCCCCTGAAACTAGCCCTAGGTCCATGCATGAAGAAGCACGGGTGTCTCCCCACCCTCAAGTGACTGAGGCTTGTCTGTGACATAATCTCACCTTCTAGAGCATGATGTGCAGTCCAGAAGGATTCCAGAAATCTGTGAGGACCCCGAGTCCTTTGGTAATACCATTAGTCGCAGACTCTGGAGATGTTGTGCGGGTGTTGAGTGTCAGGGAGGGAACACATGAAGGCCTAGAGTTCAGAAATATATCATTCAGACTGCAAATATCCATTTATCGCACAAGCATTCTCATTCGTTGCTCAGACATTTATTGCGTAGCAACCGTGGGCCAGTGTCTTTGCTAGGTGCTATGAATGCAGCAGGGGGGAAAAACAGACAAGACTTCTGCCCTTGTGGAGCTTACATTTTACCAGGATCAAGATCCATTAATGTATAAACAGACAGCTGGTTAGATACTAATGTGTTGGAGAGCTAGTAAAGCAGAAAAGGGGTAAGTCCAGCCAGCAGTTGTGGGCTGCAAATTCTGGAGTGTTCAGGTAGCTCCAAGGGAGAGGGGGTTTTAGGGCAGACTTAGGAGGTGAAGGAGCCAGCCATATGTTACTTTGGAGAAGAGCACTGCAGGCAGAGCCAGATTCAAAACAAAAGGTCCCAAGATAGGAATATCGCTGGCATGTGGAGGTCATGGGGACAGCAGAGTGAGTGTGAGGAGTGTGAGGAGCGAATAGGTGGTAGTCCAGGCTGGCCCTGGGGGACTACCTGGAGCTCGGCTGCTACCTTGGGAATGAGCAGTGGGACCACCGTGGAGTTTCAGAAAGAAGAGTGAATTGGTCTGAGGGTTTATCGAGATCACTAAGTGGAGATGAGGCAATGAGGGGTAGTGTGGGCTGCATTGGAGGCTCCTGCAGGAACCTTAGGGAAAGCTGATGGCGGTCTGGACAAGCATGGAAGTGGTGGAGGTGGATTTTGGACATCTTTGAAAATAAAGCAAACTGTTGTTTCTGACATGTGAATCAATGAGTGAGAGAAAGGAGTCAAGGCTGACGAGGTTTTTGTAGAACTGGAAGGATGGCGTGATTGTTTACTGAGTGTGGACACAGACATGGGGAATACAGAATGGCTGCATAGGGACTGCACTTGTCACCCTTCTCTGGAGTGAAGTCACACAGCCATCTGGGCCCCTACCTCACAGAGCTGCTGAAAAGATGGGACGGATTGATGGGTGTAGACCATTTGGGGCCCCTTTGCTGGTCACAGCCGCCCGACAGTGGGTGGCTGAGCTGTACTGCATGGTCTTCAGGTGCCTCAGTGCATTAAGAATGTACCTTCTGGAAGTGGTATATGATTTGCTGTGCAGTCCTTCCCTTGTACAGTTGCAGTTGCGTGAAGCACTCTTGAGATCACTGACTAGAATGTTGAATAAACATTCACCCTGTTGGGGCGAATGTTGTATCATTTAGCACCTGGAATCCTTGAAAGGAAATTCACAAAGTCGTAGCAGCTTGAAGTATTGTAGATTCAGCAGGGAGACTAAACAGCTCTTTTGGGTTCAGTTCAGAGCTCTTAGTAAGAGTTGAGGGAAGTTTAAAGGGAATTAAGTCATTGACTAAAAGGTTCAACAGTGACAATGCCTCTTTCCCCCGAGGGTATTACAGGAATTTTATTTCAGTTCCTGTCACAAAGTCATATATCTGTCATGTGACTGACCACCCAAGAAAACAGCAGAAGGCTTCATCAGATAGTGTGGTGAGATATATGGCTTTGACACCAACTCTGAGATGGATTCTCATTCCCTATGATTTATTTCAAGAGCTGGGGGTCCCTTATTCTGAGCTAAGATACTTGGTCTGATTTAGAAGCACAAATGTATGAAAGGACACAGAGAATTTAGCAGCGTCCTTCCGCAGCCTGAGTAATTTAAATCATCTCACCTGGATTAGCAATTCTAAGGCAATTTTCATCTCATTGACCTACCCACAAAATAAATGACAGGTCTTAAACAGAAGCTTCACGAATCAAAGACTCACTGGCTGAATTGGCTCTGAATCCTCCTAAAAACCTAATGAGTGCTCACCGGATAAGTGTGGAGAATTCTTAGTGCCATTATTAGAAGAGATCCATTTTTTTCAGCTCGGTTTTCCTATGTTAATGAAATTGATACCTGGACTAAAATATTCAAGGAAAAAATGTGATTTTACTTAGCGAATAACATGTATTAAGCACTTTGTTTATGAAAATATCACTTTCTTCCCATGGTTCTTTCAACATTCAGAGCACACATTTTCCCGGGAGCGTGCGGCAGCCTGGGCGTGTGGCCACAGGGCGCCCCAGCACGCTCGCCGCCCAGACAAGCCATTAAAAGCCGCCTGCACTCAAAGGGGAGACAGTGTTTCACGCAGGCATTTGGGTTCTGGAAGCAATTCCGGTGTTATTTTCTTTTTAAAGAATCAGTTATAAATGTAATAGAGCTGCGAGAGCGAGCCGCTCCATCCACTGTGGGCCTTTCCGAGGAGCCTGAAGGAACGCTTGTGTCGACAGATTGCATCCGCAAGAAGGAATGAGGTTCCCTGAAGCTTCCAGTGGGGGATTAGCTCCTGCAGAGTGTAAAGACCATAGTGCATTCGTATTTGTTTCAGAGGAAATTAAAAAAAAAACCTGGGAATAAATGTTAAACAAGTCTTCCTGCTGCTTTTTCTGTCTGGGCATATGAAGCTGAGGTAGCAGAATGTGAAACTTGATGGCAGTGTGGGAGTTGACTGGGTTAAACCTTTGCTTTGGGAGGCCTGCCTGTTTCTTTTGATTGTAAAGAGCAGAAAATAGAGAGGGGCACCTCTGCACAGTGCCTCTCACCTCCCAACCCCTCAGCAGCGGGAAGCAAGGACCCAGCCTGAGAAGGCCTTCCCTCTTGTGACCTTTACGAGGAGCATCTGTGATGGGTACAAACACTCAGGCCCCACCCTGAGTTCAAGAGGATGACAGGGACACACAAGTACACAACTTCATTAGAAACTGCAGTGTGGGTATCTGAGATGGTCACACCTAGAGCTGAATGTGGGTTAGGTGGTGAATGGGAGGAGCCAGCCTTTTAGCCTCAGAGTGCAGAGGGAAGCAGGACTGAATTCCTTACCTGGGTCAGCAACAGGAAGTCCTTTCCTCTCCCTGTGTGGGACAGGAAACACGCTCCCCTTGGCTTAGACACTGAAGACTGTTCATCTTGGGTGGCTGGTGAAAACAGTCACACTAGAAACCAGCTGTGGCTGTAGGATAGTTTGGGACTTGATTCTGCATTACCGTCCAAATCCAGAAACCCCAGCTAAAAAACTAAACATAAATTTGTCTAGAATTTGAGAAATGATCTTTGATCTTGATAAAAAAGGAGAAACAACCCCACAGCAGAGCCTCCATAGCTGCATGGGACGCAGCAGGAGGCGGCAATGCACTGAAAATGTGTTCACAGAGAACACTGTCATGGCAGGTTTGGCCCCTGTAGGATGTTAAATGCTGCCTGTATCTCAGTCTGGCTACAAGACTAAGGCGCTCTTCTTCAATTTGTGAGCGTGTCTCAACACAGATCAGCTGCCTCTGCCTCCCAGGGTCATACCCCCTGCCCCTGGCCTGGAGACTGGGCAGTGGGGTACAAGGACTCTTACCCTTCCATCAGAGCAGTGTGGCTCTGAAGGACATTCTTAGCGCCGGAGCCGTTAAAACCTTCCCTTGGCCCACTCCTACCTGCTTCATTTTTCAA